AAAGGAAATCATAATGAAACCATGAGTATATACTTCTTGTAAAAAATAAAACCAAGCATTTTGCCATTCCTTGGGCTTAAGATTTTAAATAATCATTAAATTTTTTAATTATCTATTGCCTAGAGTTAACAAATAGAAAATTATACTGCAATGCAGTTTTACAAAATTAATACATTTATCTTATTGCCTATTCAAGTGAAGAAAGAAGCGATTAGTTAATATAAATATAGCATTTTACTGCAGATACAAAATAGCAAACAATATGAACAATACATTAAGTGCATATTATACTCTTCTTTGTAAACTTTTAGAAGAGAAATGAGACTTTCAAAGAATGTAATATTTCTCTACTATTGTAAAAGGGTGAAAGCAAAAATCTTTGCTATACCTATTGAATTATGCAACCGGCCATCTTTGTTTTTAAGGAGGAAGTTATTCATGTTATCGTTATATCATCTTACACACCAACTGCATGTTTTGGAATGGATTGATGTCCAAATGCATTGCTTTTGAGAATGTTATCTTCAGGCAATAATTAGATTCTCAACATGCATTACATAAATTTAACATTTGTTGCTGATTCAAGATTGTGCAGCTGATTATTTCATCTTTGCAAACTAAGCACCTCTGGAATGTTACTCAGCTTCACTCATCTTGCTTATTTCTCTAAATCCTATTACTAGAAGCACGACAGGCAACTGCATGTATTATCTAAGAGAAAAGATGATATGATTTGTCATATTACCAGTAGCATGAAAAATAATTTTTAATTTTTACATATAAGCATTTGTACTGATTTGTACTGTTCTCTTCAACATGAAAATGAATCATGACAATGTACACTTGTTCTCCACATTTTTTCTATAACTTTTGTATGTTATTTGCTTTCTATTAATAAAGAATTTATGATGTGCAAGTTTTTGTTTTATTAAGTTGATGCATTTCAGCGATGGCATGCTGCTTTTTCAGAGTCTAATGCCTCATAATACACTCCTGCACCACTCATGATGTAAAGTTGAAAAATGGATTATAAATTGTTTCAAAACTAAACATAGGTTTTATTTTAGGAAACCTTATTGTAACAAATGGCGATGCAGTACTCGAAGTTTGTCTCTGAATTATTGAATCCTTTATTATACTACTTGGCCTACGTATTATGTATTAATCTGTTTAAGAGATTTGTGAGCTTAACTAGAAAATTAATTGCACATTAACTATCCGCTTTCAGCATTAGCATGAATTAATACCCATCTGCTGCATTACAATAAGCTATGAGTAAAAGCCAAATTCAATTTTTTATTTCTTACCATTGTTTAAAAATATAAAATTACTATTTGTAGGTACATGTAATGAGGATGACCTTAAGTGTATCGCAATAGTGTATCAGTGCTAGAGTATACTACAAACAAGCTACATATCTAATTGAAGTTACATAGCAAAGTATTGAAACCACCAGGTGCAATAGAAAGAAGCACTAAATTTCACTTGAAGATTATGGTTTACTTTTTAAAACAGAGAAATCACATAATCTTTTTGTACAACTTGATTATGTATCTAAGATGATAATGCATTATGTTAAAATAATAATAATATTTATCATTCTTAAATAATCAAATAAATTTTAATAAAATAGGGAAAACACATTAGATTTATTATATTATTTTGTTTAACTTGTCTGATTTTTGGTATAACCAAATTTTATTTCATTTCACAATTTTGTTGTTGATTGCTTCATGTATGTATTTGCCAAAACTTTTTTGCTTCTAATGAATGCAAATATTTTATTTGCAAAAGCTACAAATGCAGAAAATAATTCAAAAGAAGCTTTCATACGCTTTGTATTTGCTCAGCTGAACATTGGTTGGATCAGACCTACTGTAGCTTCTGCAATGAAACAAAGTAAATGGCACTTTTGAGATATCTCAATAAACTGTGAATGCTATTCTTTTAAATTTGGTATAGTTAAAAAGTTTGAAGACACATTTATATGTGAAACTTAATTCCAGATGATTATCGCTTATTTAGATATTCTAAGCTATGTATAAATCAAAAACTAATGTATGTGATCTATGACACCAACAACGACTCCCTTTGCGTATTCTGTTGAGAGTAGTGAAGCTTTATAAATATTATAAATCAACAGATAGTTCTTGTTTAATCATGGTATTTTTCTTTGTAATATTTGAATATAAATGTTTAAACAAAGCCATACTAACCCAATTTTACAAACATATGGTCAGATTGAATGCTATTTCATGGTTTTGTAAACAACTTCAAGAAAATCAACACAATCGTTTAACTTTACAAAAAAGGTACCTTAAAATGAAATAATGTCATGTAAATACATATAAATAGAATGAAAAATATCAATAATGTGTGATCATTTATTTTCTGGCTAGTGTGGTGATGAATTTGAAACAAATAATCACAGTGTCCATACAATTGATTTCATGCCAGTCAGAGCACTGTGTTTGGTGGATTACTTGGAAATTCATGGCCTCAGGATCCCATAAGGTCAATTACACACTAATTTTAATCTGATAATAAGAAAATGTATATCACTTCCTTCAAATAAGCGGAACCATAAGCCTTCATAAGCAATTCAATAATAGATCTAATAATATCAGTATTTTGACATTATACTATCTAAAAAATATTAGTATTCTTAGGGAGTGGGTATTGTTCTCCTCTGTATGTGTTCTTAACTTTTCCTCTTTGATGGACATTAATTTCATGAAGAAAAAGAATAAACAAAGGATTACATTACTTATATGCAATCAAAAATGAAGAAATAAGAGTTTCTGTTAAATCAAAGAGTGCATTGTAGTGGCACTATCCCAAAACTGGGAATGATTGCATATTAAACATTTCCAGATATGTTCTTTTAATTGTGATACTTCAGTGGAAGATAAGAACATTCTCACCTAATGATTTTCTTTTTCGAATAAAATGTGACTGTTTGGCTGCCGATCAAGTAAGCAAGTGTGGCGATAAGTAAACTCCCTTTGGCGCAGTGATTTAGGGAAAATGTTTTCCTTCTTCATTCATCAGTAATTGCCATTGTTAATGTACTGTGCTAAATTTGTTATGGTTGTTTTAATATTCTGCTTTCCTGTTTTCTTATTACGTAATCTATGTTCATTTTGCGGAGACCTCGAGACGACATTGGCGAGAAAGTGCCAGGGCGCCATTTGCCCTCCAGTGGCATGGCATCAGGCGATTGGCTGTTGTGTGCGTAGAGTACTAGAGCAGTGGTGCACTGGCCTCTCTCTATGCCAATAATAGATGTGGGAAGATAAACTCGCTTTTCAATTGTTTAATTCTCCCAATTCATCTGTTTCTTCCGATCGGCAGCGTTGCAGTTATTAAAGTCGCGCAAGATTCGTACTGGATTACAGTAGCAGTTTTTTGTAACTGCTGTTGCTATGAGATATTTCATTATTTATTTTTAATTTCTTTAAAACGTATTTTATAATTCAGTGATATTTTTTGAAGATATACATGGTATTCAAGTTTAAGAAGACTGAATGCGTAAAACTTATCATGTATGATTGCAGCAGATATCTTGTGAGTGCATGTGAATTCACTGTTTCATGTAATCTCTTTGGATCGTGCCTGTGGGTTGCATTGGTAATGGGGTGGAGCGTTAGGCGCTGACTGACAAGTTGAGGCTGAGGGTGATGGTGTTCGGAAGAATGATGCTCGATGGGAGGATGCTCATAAACTTTGTTAACAACAATATTATTTGTATCTAAAGCGCTTTGCTGGGTTTGCGACCTTGAGTTTCCGTATACATTGTACATTAGGCGACACTATCGCAACAGTACGTCCTATTATAAGAAAAAAGAGGTCATAAAAAACCGTTTCCAAATCAATAATAATTACTTTCGTTGGAGTTCTTCGAAATCAACTTATCTGCATTAGTTTCGTAGAAGTTTCAACCTGACAAAGGGAAAGTAACAAAAACTCGAGGCCCACAACGCAGAAAGCCAACTGCAGGAGCAGAAGAACCGAGCAGATGCTGGGGTCGCGGTCGGAGATCGTGACATTCAGACGGCCTCCAGTAGCAGCACGGTAGGAAGGAATACGGGACGCGGGGGGGGGGGG